GCAACAAGACAAAAATTTATAATTTTGCTCTCAAGTGAAATCACAACTTAAAAATTCGCGGGCGAATAAGAGACATTCTCGTACGTCTATGTGTTATTATATGATAATGACTTTTGCGTTACAATATTACAATATATATAAATAATAAATTTATTTATTTATTAAGCTTATTAAGCGTTTCTTGATTTTTCTGCATTTCTATATTTTTCTGATATTTAATTATATTATATATATAATGATATTATATGTATATACGTATATAAAGATATTAAAAATAAATATAAACTTTAAGGTATTTGTAATCTTTCAAACTTTTTTTATATATCCGCTATGTCCCCTCTCAAAGAAAAAAAAGTTGTTTCTTATTTTACACACGCTTAATAAATAAATAAATTTATTATTTATATATATAGCAAGATTGTAACGCAAAAGTCATTGTGTCGTATAATAATGCATAATTCAAAGACTCATAATGCATAATTCAAGACTTGTATTTGATTAATTTATTCAGTTTTATCATTTTAGACATATCATACGAGAATGTCCCCTTTCGTTTTAAGAAGGAAGTTCCTTAAGGGTTGCAACGTAAAAATCAAAATCATCTCGATATAATAGCGCATAAATCGAAAAGTTATCGTGTGTGATTAATTTTCCTATTTTTTGCAATTTTAAACAAGTTATATGACAAACATCTCGCCCTTTGCTTCAAGAGAAAAGTTTCTTAAGGATTGCAGCGCAAAAATCAAAATTATCTCGATATAATAGCGCATAATTAATGCATAAATACTATAATGCATATGTTATATAATGTTGCACTCTGGAAAATTTAAAATTTAACGTCAAATATCTGTTAAAAACCAGTATGGATAACTGCGAACAGTAATATAGGCATACACACACAAGAATTTAGTATATTTGAGTACACTCGTCAAAGAAGTGTCATCATATAGTTATTCGTCATGCATCATATGCAACTACAGATAAGAATAAATATCATTGGTGAAACGCAGTCTGTAAAGTTAATGCATATCTTATGAATAATTTATAAATATACATTTATTTTTCAGTGGAAACAGAAGAATTTTTCAAGCTGTTAATAAGATTTTGAAAAAGCCTGTGGCATCATGTTTATTGCAAATCAACATATTGTAGTCAATTCTTGTTTCGATGCGAATGCATTGCTTGAAATAGATGAAGCATGTTTCAGTATCGTTAATGAATATAATAGATCTATTACATTGTATTTTTCCATCTGTCGGAATGCTATTTGGTATATATATATTTGACAAAAGAAATTTATATTAAAACTGATATTATTGATTATTTTGTTCTTTTTAGTATCGATACAAAGATTGGTTACAATATGTTGGTTTGCAATAGGCATGTTGCCGCAGATTTTGTCAAAATCTTAATAGCTTGAAAAATTTTTCTAGTTCCATTGAAAAATAAATGTATTTATAAATTTATTATAAAAATTTATAAATTATTAAAAAGAATAGATAGAAATAGAAATAAAATAGAAATAGAAATTTATAAGGCTTGATCACAGACTGTGTTTCACCAATGTTACTTATACCTATAATTGCATATGATGCATGACAAATAACTATATGATGACAATCCTTTGACAAATGCATTTCAATACACTGGATTCCTTTTTACATTTTTCGCTTTTGATATATAATCAAGATACAAGACGGATTAATCAAACAATTTATAGCATAGCACAAGCATATAATAATATATTTTAATTTTAATGATAATAATTTTTTTTTAAAAAAGAATGTACAAATAGATATTGTTCAATAGAAATCAAAGAAATAAAAGGGTTGCTTTTTATAATTCAGAAATATAATAGATATATTCATTTTATCTGACTGCTCGTAAGCATGTATACAGTAGCAAGACATGTATATAACACATTAAAAAAAAAAAAAGATATAACTGTTAAAAAATTACCTTTTTTTAAAAAAAGGAGAAAAAAGCGCCAAGTGCACGCGCACAAGCGTCTTTTGCTGTAAAACAACTCTTATACAAAATAATGTTATTTCAATTTATTGTGAAAAATTCTTATACAAAATAGTGTTATTTTAATTATTTTAATACAAAAACACTGTCATATTCAAACTAAAATATGATAAGAATATTACGCCAACTAATAAAAATTTATGTTACAAAATTTATTTATTACTATTTGTAATATTAAAAATTGTATCAAATTGCAGTGTGATTAAAATAGTAGAATATATTTAAGACAAAAAAATTTTTTATTAAAAAAACAAATTTAAGTATAAAATAACTTTGTAATTAAAGAAAAACTTGGCGCAGCAAAAATTCAAAATGTAAATAACACGTTAATTAGCATATGTTCGGTTTAGCAGTGCCAAGTTTTTCTCTAATTAAAAAGTTATTTTATAAATTTTCAATAATAATAAATTATTTTTTAAATTTGTTTTTCTAATCATTATACATACATAAATCTATATGTTCTATATATCTATAAATATCTATTATATATATGTACTTATTAGAATCATCGCTTAAAACTTTTTGCTGTGATTGTAGCTATTCACATTCAACATTTTTATTCTAAAAAAGTCTGAAGATAGCTTATCTGCCTCTCAATTTCAAACAAGCGCATTTGTAGTTTGCGTTCAGCATACAACATCCATTGTTCCACAATATCCTTATACATGCGAAAATGTTGTTCAATAACTGTCTGAAATAGATTATTTTGACATTAAATTTTATTTCATCTTAAAAATCTAATTAAAAAACAAACACTACTTATATGACGTATATCAAAGATATAAGTTTCAATAATAAAAACTNATATAAATAAGTATAACTTTTGAATTCATAAAACTTACATCCTCTAAAAAACATCTAAAGATTTTCTTGCATATACGTTTATAATGAATTCTGTACACTTCTGCCTCAATGATATTTCTCATATTTTCTCTAATCTAGATAAAATAAATTATTTTGAAATTTATTATCAACAAAGTTAAGTAGTAATTTAATTCAGTGTCTAAAGAATTTAACGGAATATTATTTTTAATATTATTCTCAGCATGATGAAAATTAAAAAAGAAAAAAAAAATATATATATATATATACATACATACATGTGGGTGTATGTGCATGCGTGTGGATGTGCGCGCCGTGCGCGCGCGCGCGCGCGTGTGTGTGTGTGTGTGTGTGTTGCAGCTCCTTATAAATTCAGTCTTTAAATGTTGATCTACAAAGATCAAACGTTTTATAAAAAAGCTAAGCTCTTTGTCAAAAAGTTGATTTTATAAAAAGTCTGCAGCATTATATATATGTATAATGCATATCTATGTGTATAATGCATATATAAATATAAATAAGTTTAATAATAAAAAGCTTATAATTGGATTTATATAAAATATACCTTGTCTAATTGTTCCTTAGAGTACACATGATTAACAATAGCAATAAATAGTGCAATCCCATCCGTACCCCTATCAAAACAAAATAGCATATACATATAATTATTACCTATGCGTAACAAATTTTCGTAATTATAAAAACGCGTTTTTCAAGAAAAAAATATTTCTGTTTATTACCGTGGCTTCAATGTATAGAAATTTTTTAATATATTTGAAAGCACATTATGGTGTTTTGCATGCTTTGCAATAATTAAACAAAAACTATTAATACGTCTTCTGACTTCCATTGAATTCAAATATTCATTATCTTCGAATAGAATTTCTAAAGATTTGTTTATGAAATTACTTGGAGCGCAAGCTAAAAATTCTGAAAATCTGTCTCCTTTGTTCTCTAAAGTTGAAATGTTTATGACACCTTGCCAAATCACTAGACTGTTTGCTAACATTAAACCTTTACAGTATATCCATTCTTCCCACCATGGCAAAAGTCTATAACATCCGAAAAAATTAATATTTTATATAAAAATTTAACTTATTAAACATTGTGTTGAATATAAGATGAAAAAAAACAGTAATATTAAAAAAAATTACTTATTTGTTTTCAGCATTTGAATACGCTCTAACAATCTATCATGAGCTACCATCTGACAGTTCAAATCATTAAGAATACATGCCCATTTAATGGCTTCTTGCCTTAAACATTTAGTAAGATCATTTTCCTCAGAATCTTCTTCGTAATTTATGTTCCGCAATAGAAAGCGCAACATTCTTGTTATTTTGTCCTAAAAATTATTAAATATTATATATTATATAGATTTATTATTATGTATGAAAATTTGCGTATTTATATTATGATGCATACATAGATATAAAAATTTAAAAAAATGCTCAATAATTTACAAGTGAAATGTCACATTATATAATTAGCTCTTAATAAAAGTTTTGACAAATATTGTATAAAGTACGTTTAATTAAAACATGGACTATCGTCGTTGTTCCTTCGACAGTCTCAGTCTACATTTCAATTACACGTATAATTTTAAATTTAAATTTTATTAGAAAATCACACATTAAAACATGAGAAAGATAAGTATTAATAAATCTATAACGTATGTTTAACATCTGCAGTATAAAACTGAAATAAAAGCTTTCCCTAAAATTTCTATTTTTAGTTTAAATAAGCTTATAAACAAACATAATTGAATTTTTTTAAGGTACATTTTATTTGCTTGAAAAATATGACATGAAATAAACTACAAACTCTTCTATTGATCAAATCTAATGCTATTTACCTTAATATTTTGGACTCCTTCATTTGGAAGTGGAAAGACGCTCGACATGTATTCAAAAACTTTAATCATAGGATACCAAGCTATATAATTTGTCTCTCGTGTAAGATAGTTTGTTAATTTCCAGAATATAGAAGAATCGAGTTGGTGCTTTACCATAAAATAAAATGCGTCGTCGATAATTTTAGCACGATTAAGAACATGTATTTTCGTAAATTCTTTAGAATTCAAATATTTTGCAATTTTTTGCCAGTTTTCGGGATCATAATTAACGCGATAGTATCCTGTAATAAATAATTTTTTTATATATTATCAGATTCTCATCTAATTGGAGATTTATTAAAAAATATTTATTATTATTTGCATTTTACATATTGAGAGTAATTTCAAGTATTAAATAAGACATAGAATTAAGCTATATAAGTAATTGTGAATCAACTTCAATTTATTTTAGTCTAAATAATAATCAAAAAATATGCAGAATTGAATTTATTTCATATTCGTTGAATACTTCATATAATATTATTTGAGATATTATATAATGTTACTTATATATGTTTATTTGTATAATGCGTGCTCTTATTAAAAGAGAATATAAACAAAATTATACAACAATTTAAGACTTTAATTATGTAAAATACATATAATAAAAGTTTATTCTCATCGATATTCTCACCAGCTTGTTGTAAATTGAATATCACCCAACCAGTTTCATTTATAATAACTTGTTCTGACGGCTTATCTGACCGCATAACAATTAATCTTTCGTCATAAAATGGATACTTAAGCTTTGTAAAGTTTGTTTCATTCTGCGTAGTATAAGTCACAGGTATCCAGACAAGATTTTCCTCAAATATATCGTAATTTTCTATTGTTATATTCGTACTGTTTTTAGAATAATCTCGCGTTATTTTCAACACTGGATAATCCATACTGGTCCAATTATATATCATCGTTTTTAAAGAAGGCATGTGTTTTTTAATATAGGGATCATTATGTGATTCATCTACAGTAGTTTGCATAACGGCCCAGAAATCATCGGGAGTTGTCGAATTAAGCGCACTATATTTGTTAAATTTTGACATTATTAACACAGTAAAAATTATACTAATTATAAATTGTACATCCAAAAATATCAAAGTATTATTTAATTTACACATGTTGTAGAACTTACATAACTATAATATTTAATATGCTGAATTTTATGACATAAATAAATAATATATGAAATTTTATGTTTTTATAATATTCAAATTACACTTACTGCTTATTTAGATACAGGTAAATACTTTCCCGGAACACTTCATCGGTAATTAGATACTGCAGCATACGCAATATTAATGGTGCTACAATTCATATGATACAATGTGATTTATATTTTTTTTATATTTTTCAGAAACCGAATTAACCAAATACATTTTTTGTAATTTTTAAAATTTTAATATACTAATCTCCCTCATGTGCTCTAGCATTAAAATTAAAAGATTTATAAAAGGTGGAGTTGATTAATTTGATTTCTGAAAGGCTCAAATATATGTATATATTATGATTTAGATATTTCTAGAACAAATTTGTATTTTACACTGTGCCTGCGTAAATTAAAAATGTTATCTGATATTTTTTAGACCAAGATAGACTTTTAATTATAATATATTTTGTCAATATAATATCTTATATTGTGTCATAATACAGTCAATAAATCATTAAACTGTAAACATATATTTGTTTATTATTAATGTTCCATATTCTTTTCTAATATAAATGTTCTAAAATTTATAAACATTTTTTATCAATTATATTTATTAAATTTTACCTTTAATATAACGGGGAAAAGAAGAAAGAGAATTAATTTCGGAGGGATTGACTTCCGTTATAAAGAGTGTCCAAACGAAGAGAATCAAATTGAACCTGTACTATGAATAAATCCAACATTTCGGAATTTTTGCAATTCTAAAGAAGAAAGTTTTAATAGAATTGAATGAGTATTTAATCGAATGAAATATACATATTAACAATATTGATTAATCGCTATTGTTAGATATAAATTTGTTGTTTATCAACATTACAAAGATATGGCAAAATTTTTCAAAAGATAATGTGTAGTGTTTGAAACAGCATGTCTATTTGAACTCATTGAAAATGATTGTAACAAATGTATGTATGCCATTTCCTATCTACGTTTTTCTCTACATCGCAGATTTTATAATAATTTAAAAATGTCAAACGATCAGCATACAATTTAGACTTAACAGATACAAAAAGAATTTATAAATAGCTTAAGCAATTTTCATATGACATATTTAATGTTATAAATAGTTCAAAAATCATTTATTTTCTTAAGATCAAAGATTTTATTTACTTGTGTAAAATGATATTGAGGAAACATAGTATCCGACATAAAAATATACATTAAGAGAAAAAGAAAATATTATTAAAAATATATAAGAAAATTACCTCTATAGAATTGATGGCATCCATTGCAAACAATGTAGTAAGGCCATCAATTAACCATAAGTGAGACGACCATAATGGATTGATTAAATTACCAAACCATTGATATATTATTTCACGTCCTACCAACCGCGCAACATTTATTTTATGCGCAACAGAATGTATTTTTTCATCGTACAGAATATTTATTTCTCTAAAACATATAGAAATAAAATTTGCAAATATTAAACATAAACTTGTGCAAATAATAATATTTTTAATATATTTTCTGATTTAAAACTAAGAAATGTCATTTAAACGGATAATTTTATGTATTTCTAATTTTGATTCTTACAAAAATTGTGTTTCAATGGAATAATATTTTTTTCTAATTTTTATATTACCTATTTAACACTAGTCCCCAGTTCTGATTGTCGTATAACAAATCAAAAATTGCGGTAAATTGTACTGTTGGAATCGGTAAGTCTCTCCATTTGACTTTCATTTGTAACACTATTTCATGTGCAATCTTGTAAGCATATTGAAAATGATTATATAGTTCAGGCCTAAAGCATATAATGATATTACTTTCCTCTGATTTATGTGTTATGTGTGCTTTAGAATAATATATGCCAAATGTGTAAATCGCAGGTACTGGCGTGATTACAAGCGTCACGATATCAGTGGACATTGCAGGAGTGATATGAAAATATGTCCACTTTGTACGTGTTGCCGTTTTATATTTTTCATATTTAGATATTTCCTCTTTTCGTATCGGCATATTTGAAAAAACTTCGTAATGACGATGATGCTTTATGCAAATGTTGAAAGTGGCCTTTATTGTCGGTTTGTCCCAGCACGGAAATAATCGTTGAGCACCAATCGCATGAAAATGTGTTGCATACGACCACCTACGACATTTTAATAATATTAATTTGATTTGATAACAGTGAATTGTTAATTATCAATGGCATTAGACCATTTTTAACATAGCGGCTGGAATATATATATATATATATATATATTTCAGCCCATCAATTACATTATTTGTTGATAAAAAAATGAATCAGAAAGTTCTAAATTTCCAATACTTAACAAAGCGGGAAATAAAATAAAATAAATAAATAATTAAATTAATAAAACTTATTTAATCATTGTCATTCATAAATCGCGCGTTTGATAGTGCGAGCATAGCTACAAATTGTACGGTACACCAATAGTACACGGTTCACACGTATATATGTTTGCTTAAAAAATAATGCTTATTGGTTAAGTCTTATTTAATAAATACTTTTGTATTGTCTATTATGTATTACACAGAATGTACATTGCGCGCACTATTGTTGCCCTCAATAATTGATAAAAATAATTATAAACAAATATTTTAAGCCACAAATCGTAATAACAACACTTTTAAAAATTTTTCATTGAAAATATCAAAATTAATTAAATAATATCATATGTGAATTGTGTAACAAATTTATTCTCTTCACTCTTGTGCGCGTGCGTGCCTGTGTGCGTACGTGTATGTGTGTATATGTGTATATGCGCGCGCGTACACATTTTATATTTTATTTTACTCACACATACCACAAAACAATATGAAATATAATCTATTGTATCAAAACCATTTAATTTTCGATGATATTATATTTTTTAATTTACATTTTCTTTTTGTTTTTAATAATAACTAGAACTGATTAAAAATTGTGTAAGATGTTACAATGATATATTTAAGTGTGATATGTTAAAGTTTAAGATTGTAAAACAAAGAGATCATAGAAAGTAAAAAAGTAAATATGTCTTACAAATGATAAAAATTTATATTTGATAACAATATACTTTTAACGTATATTAGCATTTACTTACTCATATTGTCCAGATTGCTTATAGAATATATCCCATATAGGAATTATAATGTTTTCTGTGTTATTAATTGCATTGAGAAATTTTATATTCAGTATGTAACTTCCACGTGCTAACTGAACATTGAAATAAAGAAGACAAGTTTCTGTTGCAGCATCATGTTCTAAATTCAGCACTAAATTATAATGCAAAGTATTCTTGTTCGTTATAACTCCGTAAACGGAGTATCCATGTTTATCAAAACTCCGTAAATGGAGTATTGATCTCGATGAATTTAACAATATTTTTGAAGTTGGATGTAAAATATCGATAGTGACATTCAATTCACCGTAGAGAACGATGCTATTTTTTATTTGATACTTTTCTATATCTATTTCATACAATTCAAATATTTCATCTCTTTCTTGGTTTTCTTTAAAATATGATATTAGCTTGACATCGTAATGGACAGGCACGACAGCATCAAAAAGAGTATTCCATGTTATCAAGGACCTTTTCGACTTTTCAACGACAGAAGAAGCTGTCGCGGTGATAAATATGAGACCACCATAAAATAACAGTCTTACAAATGCCATATCAATATTTTGGTATCTGTAGTAGCTTTCCCTAGTGAAAGAAAGACAAATATAAAATAAAATTTAGACAATAAATCTATAAAGTGCTAACTTTCTTAGAATTAGTTCTCTCGAATAATAACAATTTCATCCATGATGAATATCTCTGTGATGACCTACTTTTATCAACATTATTTTCAATATTTGTTATTTTTTAGGTGATTGTGTCTTTAGCGAACTAACGAACGAACGAGGAATCAAATTTTTTTCAACTCGTTTGGTATGCCTCTTCAGACATATACAAACAATATACAAACATACGTACTTACATACATACACATACGTATATAATATGTAATATATAGCAAACTAGATTATAGACAATTCGAATCTTTTCATATATGTTACATATTATGCGCATCATCGTTCGTTCGTTGTTCGTTTGAATGAGTATAAGCGAATGAGTAATGGAGCTTTAAGTAACGTTGCAAATTAATGATCGTATGTCAATACAAAATTTTCTATTACCCATTTCAAAATGTGTAAATTAAATATAAATTTAAATATTTAAAAATTTCTGGTTTAACCTTAAATTTTTTAATTCAGAAATATTTCATAATAATATTATAATAAATAAAATCAATGTTCTTGTTAGATGCAATATACATATATAAAATTTAGAAAAATATATAGTTTTATTAAAACGAAATAAAACTTTAATAAAATGTCGACAATTTTGGAAAAGATAATTTAAAAGAAATTAATATCTGTTCATTGTATTCATACTTTAGTAGTACTTAAATCGCGTTATATATATCTTTTATGTATCTTTAAAGAGAGATACATAATATTCTGTTTTTGGCTACTCACTCTGAATATTAGAAATGTTATGCTAATTATAATACAATTCCTTTCTTTGTAAGATTTAGTTGGAATCGTTAATATCCTTATATGTATCGTTATATTTATACTAATGTAATCTTACCTCTTCAAGAGACGATCGAAGACTCACAATGTCGAAATAACAGACATCAAATAAATACGTAAAAATATGTAAATACGTAAGGTTACCAAGTCCTACAAAATCTAGATTTAAAATAAGATTTATATTTACGTGTTAAGAATCATTGAAGATTTTTATTGTTTATTTTTAAATATTTATATTTTGTTGTTAATTTTACATACAATTTAACAAACAATATAAAGAAATAAATATTTGTGTTTTTAAATAATATTTTATGATTATTCTAATTAATATTTATGATTATTCGAATTTATATATATTAAAATCATTTGTTCTTTAATCATGTTAAAATGCTGTATTCATCTCTATCATTTATAATATTCATGAAAATTAATTATTCACACATTAATCATATTAATTACATCAAATTATTTCCCGATATTTATTGTGATCGCATTTAGAAAAGAAATTCGACCGAGTGTCTTAAATTATTAATCTCTTATCGCCATACGATAACAGGGCCGTAGTATATAAACAACAGCGCACTATCAATTTTTATTATTGCAATTTGTTGCCGGTTAGAAACTGATAAATTTTTGTTTATGACTTTTTTATGTCAGATTATTGTAAGTGCCTTAAAAATCGTGGCGACCGTTACGAGAACCACCCTGTATATGGCAAAAACTAAATATCGCGTAATTATTATTAATTTGTTGCTAAAATATTTTAAGTACTATAACATATATAAATGCCGAATATTAATAATAATATTGTAAAAGTATTTTAAAGTATTGATTAATTTTGTACTAAACAATTAATATATCAAAAGTTTCTCGTTATGTTAATTACTCGATTTTATCATTCGATTGTTTTACACAGTGCACGTTCTCAATCCGAATTATACTTAAATCGTCGAAAAGTCAAACAATAAAGTATGAAAAGACATATATTTTAATCTAACAATAAATATCATTAGAAATTATTATAGCCCGTAAGTACAGTAACGATAGTTACAATTATAGTTAAAAAAATTAATTGTAATATATTATAGTTATTAAGTTAAAACCAAAATTTTATAATTTTCTATTAAAAAATGTTTTAAAATACACAAGAAAATTTCATAAAAATATTTTTATTCAAAAATAAATTTATGTCACAGTTTACATAAAAACTTTGTGTAGTGAATATAATATATGGCTATATATGATCTTATGTCTATTTTTTCTCGGAATGTGAATAATAATATTATAACTACTGATTATATCTATTATATACTATATTATAACTACTTATTAAAACCACTAATTAATTATTATATTACATTCAAAGTATTATTACAGATTAACAAAAATTAAAAATGAATGATGTGATAATGTTAAGAATAATATTAACAAAATATTATGCTTAATAATATTGAAAAGCGATATATATATCACAATATAATAATTGTTCTAACATTAATAATATTACAATAATATTAATTATAATATTGCTATTATTAATAAATAATATAAATAATTATTATATAAAATTAAGAATATATTATTTATATTATTATTATAAATAATTATTGATTATACTTGTAAATATACGTAAATCATTAGACATAAATCTACATATTTTGTATATATCTATATATCTATAAATCTCTGTATATATGTACTTTTTAGAACTATTGCTTTAAATTTTTTGCTGTGATTGTAATTATTCACATTTAACTTTATTTATTCTAAAAATATCTCTAGATAGCTTATCTGTCTCTCAATTTCAGACAAGCGCATTTGTAGTTTGTGTTCAGCATACAACATCCATTGCTTCACAAGATTTTTATATTCGTAAAAATCTGCTTCAATAATTGCCTGAAATAGATTATTTTGACATTAAATTATATCTCATTTTAAAAGTCTAGCATACTTAAAACACAAATACTGCTTATATGACATATATCAACGATATAAATTTTACTAATAAAAACTTAATATATAAATAAATGTAACTCTTGAAAAACTTTTCATAAAACTTACGCTGTCAAAAAAAGTTCTTTTTTTCTTGTATATACGTTTAATATGATCTTTGTGCGCTTCAGTCTCAATGATATTTTTCATAATTTTCCTGATCTAATTAAAATAAATTATTTCGACATTTATTGTCAACAAAGTTGAATAGTAATTTAATTTGGTCTCTTAAGAACTTAACGCGTTTTATAAAAAAGGTGAGCTATTTGTCAAAAAATTGATTTTATAAAAAGTCTGCAGTATTATATATATGTATAATACATATCTATATACATATATAATACATATATAGATATAAATAAGTTTAATAATAGAAAATTTATAATTAGGTTTATATAAAATTTACCTCGTTTAATCGTCCCTTAGAATACACATGATTAACAATAACAATAAATAGTGCAATCCTATTTATACCCCTATCAAAACAAAATAGCGTATACATATAATTAATACCTGTACGTAACAAATTTTCGTAATTATAAAAACATGCGTTTTTTAAGAAAAAAATATTTCTGGTTATTACCTTGGTTTCAATTTATCGAAATTTCTTAATATATTTGGAAGCACATTATAGTGTTTTGCATGTTTTGCAATAATAAAAAGAAAGCTATTAATACGTCTTTTGATGTCTAATTCACCAGAATTTTTATTTTCTTTGAACATAATTGATTCTAAATAATCATCTATGATATTATTTGAAGCGCAAGCTAAAAATTCTGAAAATCTGTCTGTGTTTTTCTCTGAAATTGAAATTTTTACCACTGCATGCCAAATCGGACTGTTTGCTAACATCAAACCTTTACAGTATATCCATTCCTTCCACCATGGCAAAAGTCTGTAATATCCGAAAAAAATAATATTTTAATTTAACTTATAATATTGTATCTTGATCTAATAACTTATTAAACACTGTTTTGAATATAAAATGAAAAGTGTAAAAGACGGTAACGTTAAGAAAAATTACTTAGTTGTTTCCAGCTTTCTAATATGCTTTAACAATTTTTTATAAGCTTGTGTCAGACACTCCAAATCATCGAGAATACATGCCCATTTAATGGCTTTTTGCCTTAAACATTTAGTAAGATCATTTTCTTCAGAATCTTCTGCATATTTTATTTTTCGAAGTAGATCGCTCAATATTTTTGTTATTTTGTTCTAAAAATTATTGAATATTATATATTACATAGATTTATTAGTATTTATAATAATTTGCGTATTTATATTATGATGTATATGTAAATATATAAATTAAACTTTGATTCATTAACAATATATAACCCGCTTACAAAATTATATGATCTTTTTTGTATTATTTATAATACGTTTTATACTGCATAAATATATAAGCATATCTAATATACATATATTTAAATTCTTTAGAGTTCAAATATTTTGCAATTTTTTGCCAGTTTTCGGGATCATAATTAACGCGATAGTATCCTGTAATAAATAATTTTTTTATATATTATTTAATTTTCATCTAATTTGGAATTTATTAAAAAATATTTATGATTATCTGCATTTTAAATATTGAGAATAATTTCGAGTACTAAATAAGATGTAGAATTAAGCTATGTAAGTAATTGTGAATAAATCCAAATTTATTTTAGTTTAAATAATAATCAAAGAATATGCAGAATTGAATTTATCTCATGTTCATTGATAGTAGAATGCAGAATACCTCATACAATATTTTTTAAAATATTATATAATGTTACTTATATGTTTATTTATGTAATGCGTGCTTTTATTAAGAAAAGATATAAATAAAATTATACAACAGTTTAAAACTTTAATTATGTAAAATATAATAAAAATATATTCTCATCGATATTCTCACCAGCTTGTTGTAGATTAAATATCACCCAACCATCTTCATTTATAATAACTTGTTCAGACGGCTTGTCTGAGCACATAAATATTAATCTTTCGTCATAAAGTGGATACTTAAGCTTCGTAAAGTTTGGTTCAGTCTGCGTAGTATAAGTCACAGGTATCCAGAAAAGATTTTCTTCAAATATATCGTAATTTTTTATATTCTTGTATATTGCTATATTCATACTATTTTCAGAATAATTTTGCGTTATTTTCAATACAGGATAACCCATATATGTGGTCCAATTATATATCAATGTTTTTAAAGAAGGAATGTATTGTTTAATATAGGGATCATTATGTGATTCATCTACAGCAGTTTGCATAACGGCCCAGAAATCATCGGGAGTTGTCGAATTAAGCGCACTATATTTGTAAAATTTTGACATTATTAACACATTAAAAACTGTACTAATTATAAATTGTACATCCAAAAATATCAAAGTATTATTTAATTTATACATGTTGTAGAACTTACGTAACTATAATATTTAATATGCTGAATTTTATGACATAAGTAAATAATATATTAGAATTTTATATATATATATTATGTATTTATAATATTCATATTACACTCACTGCTCATTTAGATATAGGTAGATACTCATCCGAAACAATTCATCGGTAATTAGATGCTGCAGCATACGCAATATTAATGGTGCTATAATTCATATGATACAATGTGATTTATATCTTTTTAATGTTTTTCAAAACCAAATTAACCAACTACATTTTTTATAATTTTTGAAATTTTAATATACTAATTTCTCTCAAGTGCTCTAGTATTAAAATTAAAAGATTTATGAAAAGTCGAGTTGATTAATTTGATTTCTGAGAGACTCAAATATATGTATATATTATGATTTATATATCTCTCTAGAATAAATTTATATTTTACACTGCCTGCGTAAATTAAAAATTTTATCTGATTTTGTTGAGACAAAGATAGAGACTTTTAATTATCATATATTGTGTCAATATAAAATCGTATATTGTGTCATAGTAAAGTCAATAGATCATTAAACTGTAAATATATATTTGTTTATTATTAATGTTCCATATTCTCTTATAATATAAATATTCTAAAATTTATAAGCAATTTTTTAATTATATTTATTAAATTCTACCTTTAATATAACGAGGAAAAAAAGAAATAGAATTAATTTCGGAGGGATTGGCTTCCGTAATAAGAGGCTTCATGAAAGAATGAGTGTCCAAATGAAGAGATTCAAATTGAACCTGAACTATAAATAAATCCAACATTTCGGAATTGCTATAATTCTAAAAAGGGAAAGTTTAATAAAATTGAATGAGTATTTAGTCGAATGAAATGTGCGTATTAACAATACATACAATATTAATTGCTATTGTTAAAAATAACTTTGTTATTTATCAACATTACAAAAATATACAAAAATTTTCCAAAGAATAATGTGTAGTGTTTGAAACAGCATCTCATTGAAACTATTTGAAATCATTGAAAATGATTGTATCAAACATATATGCCATTTTCTATTTACGTTTCTCTCTAGATTGCAGATTTTATTATAATTTGAAAATATCAAACAATCAGCATAAAATTTAGGTTCAATAGATACGAAAAGAATTTATAAATAACTTAAGCAATTTTTATATGACATATTTAATGTTATAAATAGTTTAAAAATCATTAATTTTTTTATGATATTAAAGATTTTATCTACTTGCGTAAAATGATATTGAGAAAACATAATATAAAAATATACGTTAAGAGAAAGAGAAAATTTTACTAAAATCATACAAGAAAACTACCTCGATAGAATTGGTGGCATCTATTCCAAACAACATAAAGCCATCGATTAACCACAAGTAAGACGACCATAATGGATTGATTAAATTACCAAACCATTGATATCATTTCATGTCCTATCAAACGCGCAATTTTTATTTTATGGGCAACAGAATGTAGATTTTCATCGTATATAATACTTGCTTCCCTAAAACATATAAAAATTAAATTTGCAAGAGTTTAGTATTAAATCTAAACTTGTGCAAATAATCATAATTTTAATATATTTTCTGATTTAAATCTGAAATAATGTCTTCTAAACGGATAACGTTATAGTTTATTATAAATTTATTAATAATCTTATGTTCTAAACACTTATACTTTAACTTATACTTTATATACCATCCTTAACATAGTGGCTAGAATAAATATTTTTACATATTATATATATACAAAGTGTCATAATTTACGCCTATCAATTATATTATCTTTTGATAAAAAATAAATCGGAAAATTCTAATCTTTTTCTGCAATATTTAACAAAATGGAAAATAAAATAAAATAAATTTTATTTATTAAATCACTGCCTTTCATAACCCGCGCATCTGATGTTGCGTGCATGGCTATAAATTATTTAGTATGCCAATAGAGCATATGGTTCACACAAACGTACATATGTCTGCTTACAAAAGACAATGTTTATCGGATAGGTCTAATTTAATAAGTTCTCTTGTGTTGCCTATTGCGTTACACAAAATTTATATTACAATGGTACGCGCGCGCTTGTTGCACTCAATAATTGATAAAAATAATTATAAACATAATCATATTTTAATCATATTTTAAGCTAAAAATTGTAATAACAAGACTTTCAAACATCTTTCATTAAAAATCAAGCTTAATTGAATTATATCATATGAATTGTGTGACAAATTAATTCTCTTTACTTTTGGATGCATGCATGCATGCATGTGTGTGCGAGCGCGTGCGTATGTGTGTTTTATACGCGCGCGCGTATAAAAGTACTAACAATGACATATCTTATATTTTATTTTATGCACACATGCCACAAAACAATTCAAAATATGATCTATTGTATCTAAACTATTCAATTTTCGATGATAGTATATATGTATATTTTAATTTACATAATTTTGTATTTAATAATAACTAGAATTGATCAAAAGTCGTATAAGATGTTACAATGATATATTTAAGTGTCATATGTTATAAAGTTTAAGATTGTAAAACAAAGAGATCATAGAAAGTAAAAAAGTAAATATGTCTTACAAATGACAAAAATTCATATTTAATAACAATGTACTTTTAACATATATTAGCTTTTACTTACCCATATTGTCCAGATTTCTTTGGGAGTATAATGTTTAAAGAAATTAAAATGTTTTTTGTGTTGGGCAATTACATTATTTAATAAAGTTTATTGACGGTAACAAAAATTTGTATTTTGTTTTATTCCAAAAACGGACAGAACTTTCCGGTAGACCTTATATATATACCTTAATATACAACAAACTAATATATAGACGATTCCAATATTCTCATATGTATTACATATTATACACATTTTTTTTAACAACAAGAAAATAAACATTTATCTTTGTTCGTTATTGGTTTAAATACTCATTTAAACTTGCTTATACTCATAAGCAAATCAGTAATCAAACTTAAAGTAACGTTGCCAATTAATAATAGTATGTCATTATAAATATAAAATTTTGAAAAATGTAGTTGTATTAAAAAGAAAGAAAAAAATAAAAAAGAAATAAAAGAACTTTAATGAAATGTCGACAATTTTGGAAAAGATAATTTAAAAAAAAATTAAGATTTGTTCATCGTGTTTATATTTTAATAGTACTTAAATTGCGTTCTATATATCTTTTATATATATTTAAAGAGAGATACATAATATTCTATTTTTAGCAACTCACCTTGTATATTGAAAATATTATGCTAATTGTAATACAATTCCTTTCCTTGTAAGACTTATTGTTTGTTGCAGTTAACTTTATTATTGCGAATCGTTAATATCGTTATGTTTACAATAATGTAATCTTACCGCTTCAAGATGTGATCGAGAACTAACAATGTCGAAATATCAGACATCAATTAAATACGTAAATACATGAGGTTGCCAAATCCTACAAAATTTAGATTCAAAATGAGATTTGTGTTTATGTGTTAAGAATCAGTGTAGCTTCTTATTGTTAATTTGTTAATTTTAAATATTTATGTGTTGTTAAATTCACATACAATTTACTAAACAATTTAAAACAATAAATATTTACGTTTTCCTACGTCTGTAATTATGAATTTTTTATTTTTATACGTTGAAAATTTTTCATATCAGAGTACTTTCATAGAGTATTTATTTATATGATTTTCTAAAATAATATTTTATGATTATTCTAATTAATATAATATATTGAAATCGTCCGTTTTTTCGTGTTAAAATGCTTTATTTATCTTTATCATTTATATTATCTATGAAAAATAATTATTCATACATTAATCATATTAATTATGTCAAGTTGTTTCTCGATACTAATCGCGATCGCGTTTGGAAATAGAATTTAAGAATATACGAAGCGTTTTGTACCACTATGTTACTGCTCGAGTATCGCCGTACGTATGATAAGAAGGCTAGACATGTAATATTTAAAATGTATAACAAATATATTTTAAATTATGATTAATTATTTAGTGAACGATTGATGTATCACAAAACCTTTATGTTAATTACTCTGTGGCGTGCATGACAGAAAACTCTAAACGT